ATAAATGGCACGAAATCAAGAAAATATTCAGAAAATGATGACATTGACATTTCAGCATTGCAAACCTTCCGAAACGTGAAGGAACAAATAACCGTTAGCGACGAAGGTATTGTTCTGAAGGATAGTCAGATTGTCACTCCGACAGTGCTACAACGCTTCCCTCTACCAGGGCGAGTGATAGATTTTTTACAGATATTCACAGATATGCCTCGAGCTAGATAGATGGTCATTTAGGGCTGTTTGTTGGGATGTCACGCGGATTCTGGCGTTCATTCGAGACCAAAATAACTTCTGGCGCGAAAAGCCTGATGTAATACGCAGACGTAAGTTGCAAGTTTTTGTACAGTGCGTTGGATAACGAAAAGCCCAGAATAGCACACATGGTAGATTAAATGCATTTTGAGCAATAAGACGAATATATCTTATGAATCTTATATTATTGTTATGTAGTGTTGTTGTTGTCTGCTTTTCCCGCGGTTTTAAGTAGGTCACCAGAAACTATCGCTCGATATCGCGTGACTATGCCATGTCAGAGTGGGCTCCGTCAGTTAAAATCTCTTAAGAGATTTTAACAAAAAACCAAACGTTTAGAAAAAAAACCCTGGACTAACTTTGAATGCAGAAATGCAAGGGGTCGCTGAACATTGGTAAGTACGGGAAAATTGCCGTTTACTCCAGGAAAATCCAATTTTTGGCCAAAATGAAGAGTTATTATGACTTTAATTTTTTCTTTAAATTCAGAAATGCTCTACGACTACTACAAAACAAACAATGGATTTATCAGTGTCTTTGAACAAGCGCGTTTCTTTTCATAATGTTTTAAGTTAGATAATCCTTTAAATAAGTACTCTGTTTAACTTACTTGAACTCTGTTTGAAGAGAAAGAGAACAGTGCATCTCATCGATTGGACATCGAGAAAAAAAAAGAACTTTGGCTTACTTAAGAAAGGAACTTTAATTCGGAAAATACTCACCTACAATTTACAGGGTTACTACTTAATATGGAATATTTTTATCATTGTTATTTTTGAGGGCTGATTAAAACAAATTTGGCTTGATTCATCAAAAGAATATGTAATTGTGTGATAAAAATATCCAGTCTTCTATGGTGCGATATTTTGGTCAATAATATCAAATACGACATAAGATGTCATTCAAAAGAAAGGAACACCCACAGAAAACCATATCAACAGTTTGATGTCAGTATTTTAGTTAAAACTTTAAGATAAGATATTAAAGAAAATGATAGCCTCCCGACAGTAGCGGGTATGACCTCCAGCAGCCGCTTGCAGCGCCCTCATCCTACATGGCATACCCTGTGAAATGTTTTTTAGAATTTGGATGGGGATATCTTTCCACGCAGTGATATTTGCCTGTCGCAGTTCATCACTATTTACCGGCCGTTGACCATAGCTATTAATTCTGTGAGTTACTTCCGCCCACAGATTTTCAATTGGGTTCATATCTGGGGAGTTTGCAGGCCAGGACATTTGCTGAACCCATTGGTTTCGAAGAAAAACAGTGATTCTGCGAGCTCGATGTGGGGTTGCGCAGTCGTCTTGGTACACAAAGTTGTTCCTGAAGATGACTCTTACAAATCGAAGCATTGTTTGCTTTAGAATGTCCCTGTAGGAACCCTGGTTGAGGTTGCCTCCTAGAAAAACCAACTGTTTCTGGGCACCGGCATGAAATGCTCCCCAAACAGAGACGTTAACACCCCCTGCTTGTATCTTAGGCAGTACACAATTATCGTTTTATGCCTCTCGTACACGTCGGCGGACACGGATTCGACCGCCAACCCTAAAAACTCCATACCTGGCCTCATCACTGAACACGACGTGATTCCAGTGTTTTGGCTGCAAAGGCACGTGGTCCCCAGCCCATTGCAGACGTCACTGTATATGACGTACTGTTAACAGTGGATTCCCTACTGGCCTTCGTGCAAAATAACCGGCTTGCAGTAATCTCTTGTTCACGAGGGACCTTGAAACGGGCGTTTGAATGACATTCTGCCACTCTTTTCTGAAGACACTGGTTTCCCATTCTACGACCAGCACGGCGCACTCTAAGGAGAAGGCGATCCCGTCTTTTTTGTGTGATACGCAGACACCCTGGTCGAGGTATTGGAGTAGGTGCCCCTGTTGTAGCATTTCTTTGGAGGACTTTACTAACGGTTCCTGATAAATGTTGCATTGCCTGGCAATGGCTGTCCGTTTTTGGCCATTTTCTCTGAGAGCAAGAATCCCATAGTAAGCTGCGAACCATATCTTCTCTAAGGTACCTGTCAAGTTTCAGAACGATTTCTTCGTTGCTTCTCTAAATACACCCCAAAGATTGGCCAAACCCATGCGTTTTTATACAAGGGCAGAAATTGCCGAAAAGACCACCCCTTCACATTTCTGACCACAGAAAATGCAACTGCATGCATCAATTGTTTCGACAGTTGTGTGGTAATTAGGTAACACACCTGGCTACACATGGGGTGACACCTCAGTTTTGGATTTAAAGTAGTTAGATAGAAAATAAATCTTTTGTAGAAAATTTACTCGCCAAATATAATATTCCATATTAAGTAGTAACCCTGTAATTGTCATAGTTTTATTTTTAGATATAAATGTTTGTTTTTTTAAAATTTTTTTATTATTATTTGGTTAAAAAAGGAGGGATGTAGTATCCTCATAAATATTCATGTGTATCATGTGACCCCAACGCTTACTATAAATGTCCACGTGTAGTGAAATAAAGTCAGTGCGTATGTAAGTAAGCCTCCAGTGCATTAGCGTTCTCATTCATATCAAGAATATCACACATCTGAAGACGCATATTGGTCAGGTAAAGGTTCCCCTGGCAAACGGAGAGATATTCCAGCAAAGTATGTAACACGAATTTTGATAGAATACATAATATTGTATTTATTGGGAAAATTTTGTGGAGCAAATCAGTCTCACTCTTGGCAGCAATGAAAAAGTTAATGATATACTACAGCTAATTTTAAACATTTTAATTACCCTATTTTTATTTTACCTGCTATCTATACTATTTGTTTGTGTGATTGTTAGTTAGTTAGTTAGTTAGTTAGTTAGTTAGTTAGTTAGTTTTTTATTGTTAACTTTAAACAAATTTGACTTTGATAAAAGTTCTATGACTACTGCATACAATGTATATATTCAGACCTTGTAACAACATGAGGGTGCATTTTGTTATAACATTTTTCAGAAAAACTGCTGAACTTCATATGAAGTAGTGAAAAAAATATGCATAGTTTGAATAAACAGTTGAGAGTTGACACTGAAGAATTAGATATATCATACCAGGATATGCATCCTTTTGATGTGTTTTATTCCTACAAACCCAGTTCTAATTTTGTCAGTTGGAGTAATTGTAACATTTACCAAGCTGAAGTCTACAGCACATCACTAGTAAATTAATGGTGCAGGGATGAAAGAAAATTAGCTGTCTTCATTTTGACATCTTGACAGTGGGCATATAACAAAGTGATACATGCCTGGCATTTAATAACATTTTCACATTTAACATTCTAATCATACATCTCTCTCTCTCTCTCTCTCTCTCTCTCTCTCTTTTTATTCATTTATTTTTTGTAGGGGGGGGGGGTCTCCTTTGATCTGCCATTTTAGAGTTACATAAGTATATGGATGCTCTCTCAGTCTGCAATAACATGCAAGTGCGGTGACGGCTTTAATGAGGACAAATACAACAGGGGATTGGTGTAGATGTCAGGAATTGGGACGTGATAAACAAATATTTTTAGCTTTGTTCTGGAGTTGTTATCTCATCAATATCATTTGACCTACGTTTGACTATTTATCTGACTCTCTTTATGACACTTTTATCTCTGCAAGGTGATAGCTGTTAAAGCATGTGACCTAATAATGTAAGTCTAAAGCACCCCGCGCACGATGAGCAATTGGCGCGCGCCACTTGCGCTGCGCCGTTTTCTGTCACCGTTTGCGGGGGTATTTTGGTGATATTTTTGCCTCTCGCGCAGCGCAAAATATCTCACGTGTTTGATATTTTTGGCCTCTTGAGGCAAATGGCTCAGCGTGTGCGTAATATCGTCAGCAGATCGTTCGCGATCCAAGCGAGACGAGAAGGCAATTTTCATATTTGTAGCGGACTCTGTTCGCGTAAGATCATCAGTGGGAGATCGTTTGCGATTCGAGCGAGACGAAAAGGCAATTTTCATATCTTCGGCGAGAGATCGTTCGCGATGTAAGCAAGAATAAAAATGCAATTTTCATATTAGTCCAAGGACTCAGGAACTTCGTGGAAAATCGTCAGCGGGAGATCATTATTTAACCCCCCCCCCTTTGAATTTTTTAAAATAATGTATATTTTTTCATCTTATCTTTAACCCCCCCCCCCCTCCCTCGCTCATATCTTCAGCGGAGAATCGTTCGCGTAATATCGTCAGAACTTTGTTAGCGTAAGATCATCAGAGGGAGATCGTTCGCGATCCGAGCGAGACGGGAAGGCAATTTTCATGTCTTCATCGGGAGATCGTTCGCGATGTAAGCAATAATAAAATGCAATTTTCATATTAGTTCAAGGGACTTAGGAACTTCGTTCGCAGTAGATCGTCAGCGGAAGTTCATTATTAATATTTTAACCCCCCCCCCCTTTGAAAATTAAAAATAATATATATTTTTACANTGGGAGATCATTATTTTCCCCCCCCCCCCCCCCCCCCCGGTTTTTTAAAAAAATATATAGGCCTATTTTCATTTTATTTTTAACCCCCCCCCCCCCCCTCACCCGCTCACGACGCTTGGAAGAGTTGGACTCCCTGTAATATTTTAGGAAGTTACAGATGGCAATTTTAGAAGGTCTGACACCCAATCCTGGTAAAAGCCCTGCATGCAACAAACGTTGCCAAGTGCGTAATTTGTTACATAGGCCGCGTCCAGTAATGAGTTTATAATGCAAAGTTGCAATTAGGCTTATCTTGATCCCTCTCCTCTATCAGGAGGTATGTTTGTTACCGAAAAGACATCGAGATGCAATAATAAACAGATTATTATTTACCACTAAAATGACTAAGGAAGTAGTGATAAATATCCAACAATATATGAGGAACAAGGATAAAAGCCGGTAAGGATAAAAGCCCTAAGGTCGGAGTTTTGACAATTTCGTCTTACCCAGGAGTCGGGGAGACATAATTTTGAAAAATTCGTCGGATTTACGCAAATGAAAGTTATAATTAATTTTTAAGCGACGAAATTTTCAAGTTTTTACCGCACGTAAGCTTTTTAGATGAAGGCAATATTGTTGTAATATCAAAATAGGAAAATACATACTTTACTCTAGGTGACATATTACTAACCTTGAAGTCTTGCTGTATACAGTGATGTTTTATCATTTAAAAAAATAAATGCCTGTGTTGCTGAGATGTTTGTCTCTGTCATGATCTAACTTGTACTGAGAGATATGTAAAAGCTCTTGAGGGCTACAGATTTCTATGCTTTCTTATGTGCACTAACTAATAAATTGTCCTCACAAGTTGCAAGCAATGTATATGGGTCAAGTTTAAGTTCTCCTAGATACAGTACTCTCACAGGGTTGTGTTAGTTATATATGGCATGACAGTACAGCTTTTCTGAGCCTTGAAGTCCTTAAGAAATTCTCTTAAATCAGAAGGCTTAGAACTATGATGCTCCATAAAGAGCAACAGAGTGCATACGGCCGTAAGCAGGATGAGTCACCTCTGCTCTATATAAGAGGAAAAAGATAAGAAGTAGGTGTTTCAAATCACTTACTCTTAGAAGTTGAGGCTTGGTGAATGTAAACAAACTCTACGTGACATGACGTGACGTTGATTTTTATGTGATCAGCTAATGTGGTTGCATCTTCTTTCTAGGGAGTTTCCACTGAAGAGCCATGAATCAACAGACAGTTTTCCTGATAATTGTCTGCACTTGGTGCCAGTTGCAAGGTGGCTGTGCCCAGAGTTCAAGGCCACATATCATTGTAATATTGGCAGATGATTTGGTAAGTTTACCCTTGAGATGTACTCATGTTACTGTTTTAAAACTTACTGATGTTAGTACAGTGTCTCTCTGATGACCTTATATTATACCAACTCTGCTATCCTTTATTGACTTTTCTAAACAAATTGAATGTTTGAGAATTTTGAGGATGAACACACATTGAAGCTGCTAACACAGCAAGTACACATCAGAATCGTCAATAGGAGTGCTAACGCATGAATTTTCGTGCTAACATTGAAGACCCATTGAATTGTATTCAAACTGTCTTATTTCAGTGAATAGTCTTTTAAAAATTTTGTGAAGTTTTAACTTAAAATCTTTCAGCAAATTTAGCAGTAGTTGATTAATGTAACAGCATCATTTCTGTATATGACAGGTCCCTACACTGCACACGCATATGCTAACAGTTCCCCAGTTGGTTTTAATCACGGAATTATAAAACCTTGCCCAATTCACACACACATACATACACATGATGAAAATGTGTATTCACTAAGTAGCATATTTCTATCCATATGCCAACATTATTTCCACATTATTTACAGAGATACAATTTAAAGGTTGTTGTTTGTGTTTATTTCAAATCGTATCCAAAAAAAAAAATAATAATAATAATAATAATAATAATGGACAACAAGTTTCTCATATTTTAGGGCTGGAATGATGTCAGTTTCCATGGTTCTAACCAGATCCCTACCCCAGCTCTGGACACTTTGGCCTACACTGGGGTGATGCTGTCTAATTACTATGTCTCTCCAATCTGTACTCCCTCCAGGAGTGCCCTGTTGACAGGGAGACATCCTATTCATACAGGTGTGTGTGTGTGTGTGCACTACAGAGTTTGTACATCACCGTGTCTGTGCATGTCTTAGTGTGTGTGTGTGTGTGTGTGTGTGCATATGGCTCTATTCACAACAGTGGATTAACAGATCCTCATATCAAATGTGACTTACCTGCTTGAATGCTTGTTGCATAATCTCCCATGGAATCTAATCATTGTCTATTCAGGATTTACACGGCAAGCTTTTAACTGTGTCGCTATATTTGACCCGCAGATCTGTTAGTCCACTATTGTGAATGCAGCTTATGTGTGCTGCAGAGTGTGTACGCACAGTGTCTATGCACGTCTTAAGGCGTATTCCCAGAGCTTTTGGATCGATCTATCCCCGCGGGGAGTCTCACTTGATTACTGTCAGATAATCCAGCTTAAATGTCCATCCCGCCTACTACAAGCTGTAAGGGGGTAATTAACTTTCGTGCCCGCTTGGCTGACAGCTATTTAGCGTGAACCCCCAGGGAGTTAGGTCTATCTAAAGTAGATCGATATAATCTCTGGGAATGGGGTCTTAGTATGTGTGTGTATGCCAGTGGTGTGTCATAGAGTGCATTCCCAGAGATTTAGATCGATCCATCCGGATCGACTTAACTCCCTGGGGGTTCACGCTAAATTGCGCTCAGCCAAGCGCGCACTACAGTTAATTACCCCCTTATAGCTTTTAGTAGGCGGGACAGACGCTTAAGCCAGCTAAGCTGACAGTTATCTAGTGAGACTCCCCACAGGGATAGATCGATCTAAAATCTATGGAAATGGGGTCATGGTGCGTGTGTGTGTCACATAGCATGTGTTTTTGTCATAGTGTGAGTGCCACAGTGTGTGTATGTAGTGTGTCATTGTGTGTGTGTGTATTTTTTTTCTTGAAGTTATGATTTTTTTCTTTTTGTGAAATTTTTCACATTTTGGCATTTTCAAGGTGTGACTTTGAACTCTGATTGGATTAATATCCTTTTTTTTTTTTTTTTTTTTTTTTTGAAGTCATCCATTTTTTTACATTTTCCCAGTATGTCTGGTGATAATGCTGTTAAGCATTATATGATGTTGCTTTTAAATTGACAGAAAAATTGCTTAACATTTTTTCCTGCTTTGTCTGAACAACTGACAACTTTGTTGCCTTGTTTTATTCAGTAGGTTGAAATAGCCCAGTTTAAAAGGGACTTACTGTTTATAATCAAAAATAATCTTATGCGACACAAATATGATTAACATTTTTGCTTCAAACCTACTCCTATACAATGGTCTAATGCATATTGTCTATCTTTAAATTGTGAGTCAATATCAAAAACATTACACTGAATTGAAATTCAGGTGGAATTTTTGATGATTTAACAAGAGCATCTGTAAAATAGCAGTTCCTTCTCGCTTTTCATCTTTGCAGTATTTATGTTATATACATGCATATGTTATTACTGCTAATATCTAATGTCATGTATTCTATAAATTAGATAGGCTGGTCACATTCAGACATGAAATAATTTCTGTGCACATGCATAGTGTGTATTTTTTGTAAGCAAAATAAATAAATAAGTAAAATATGAAAGAAAATAAAATAAATATTTTAAGCAAAAGTGTATATATTTTCAGGCCTCCAGCACGGTGTCTTGGCAGGTGCTGCCCCCTATGGTTTGGGACTGAATGAGACCATCATGCCTCAGTATCTGAAGCGGCTCGGTTATGAAACTCACATGGTGGGAAAGGTAATGAGGGAGGATTTTTACTTACAGACAAGTGTCTTTACATATTCTAACAAGAAAAGTATCTGTCAGTGGCCTCGCTGTCGCTGCCCGATGCATGACATTTGCCCCATAACCTCCAAACCATTTTGTTGTTTTACTTTAAAGTAACTGAGTGGCTTTGCTTGGTAAAGAGGCCGGGTGTTTTTAAAAATCGACATGATCTGTTGACATTTGCAGTAATTGTTCTGTTTTTTTTTTATGTGATTTTTTCCTTTTTCACACATAAGCATTTTCAGTGGCTTTTATATCCCATGGAACTAGGTTTTCAATGTCCATGTTACCTGTAGTACATCATGTAAGAGGATAAGAGTGATCATGCTGTTTTAAAGCATTATTGTATGTAACAGTGCACCAAAATTGGCCAAAACGTTATTCTTTGCATTTTTTCTGCGTAATGTCTGAATGTTTGACAGCTTTGCTGCCTGGTTATCTGCATGGCATCTGTATGTTTGTATGTTTGCTTTGCTGTCTATTTTTAAATTGAAAATTAACTTGAATTAAGAATTGTCTTGACATTCACTGAGAAGAGAAAGGTTTATGGGAGATGTATGCACACCCCCATCATACTGCATATAGATAAAAGTAATCATGAAAAATAATAATATGTTAATAGAATTATTTGTCTCTAAAAGTTCTTCATGATACTAATGGTATTGGATAAGTTATGCATTTTGATATGAAAGCCACTGGGTTTATATATATATATATATATATATATATATATAATCTCTCTTCATAATTATTTATCACAGTGGCACCTTGGGTTCTTCAAGAAGGAGTACACCCCGACTTTCCGAGGGTTTGACAGCCATTTTGGCTACTGGCTTGGCAAGGAGGGCTACAGCAATCACAAGGCTTTTGCATATGTATGTACCTCAACTAACTAATGAGTAATTTAAAAGATGCTAATTATACTGATTTCAGTATTATGGTATGATGTACAATGTATGCCTTTTGCAGAAATTTCAAACTGTCTTTCATAATCTGTGCTTTTTTATATGGAGCAAACATAGCTTTTCATTTCATCACTCTGTTTGACACAAAAAGAAAGAAAAAAAGATTATTACAAAAATTTATAACATTCATCATGCTTTTCCAGCCAGGAGCTTATGGTCTTGATTTCCGCCGTGATATGGCTCTGCAGTCAAACTACAGTGGGAGATATTCAACAGAACTTTTCACTGAGGAAGCCACCAAAATAATTCAGAGACATGACACCAACAAGGTAAATATTTGGAAATTGTTAACTATGGGTATTTTTTCATTTCACCACCAGCATAGGCATTGCCAATACACATGGTTTGAGTTCCGTCCACTGACTCTGCAGCCACGTCACCCTCACTGCTGCTCCTCCCAGACATGAAGGGCCTGTGTCACCATCTCTTGGATATAGGTCACATACAAATTCAACTTTTGTCTGTTGTGATGATAAACCAAGAACCAATAATTAAAACTATCATCAAAACTATAGCCTGTGTACAATCATAACTCTTGCAGAGAAAACCATCTGTTCCAAAGAAATCACACATTAAATATTTCACAGTTGAATATACCCTTTACCCTGCTTCTGCCCATATAATACAGTGTACTACCACCACATTCACCCAACTCTACTTCTCCACAACTAAGACCCATACATTCACACCTTCCTTAAAAATTTTATGCACTTACAATACCAGGACACGGTATCACCTCTCAGATTCTCTAAGTTTTATATATATATATATATATATATATATATATATATATATATATTTATATATATATATATATACTTTAAAATATTAGAATTTTCAATTAAATTTTGAGTTATATAGCGTTCATGAAATTGACATCAGATGGTATATATAAGTTGCCTAGAAAGTTCAGTATTTTTCCAAACTATGCTGGTGAAATCAGTTGGTTAAGTAGTGATGTCATCATACAAGGAGCTTGCCAGAATTTATAGTTGTATCTGTAAATAATGCCTATAATGTATTGTTCTTTATTTCAGCCCCTGTTTCTCTATCTTCCACACCAAGCAGTCCACAGCGCCAATCCATGGGATCCACTTGAAGCACTGGACAAGTATTATAAACTGTTTCCTAACATTCATGATGAAAATAGGAGAAAGTTTGCAGGTAAATACTGCAGCCATGTCAAAACTGAAATGATTTTCTTTTTTGTTATTTTTAGGGTAAGGGGGAGTGTTTTGATGCCTATAATTTTTAAAGCTACTTAAATTGTCTTTTTGGTTATACTTACATCCAGTTTTGTTTGGCAAAATGGGAAAATCTTATCATAAATGTTGTATTTCATCAGTTTACTTCTGATCCCTCCCCCCCCCAAAAAAAAAAAATCACATCAAATGAAAAAATACATGTGGAGTTTGCAACAGTGCTTTGAAATCTCTGAATTCAAATATTTTGCAGCCATGGCAGCTGCCTTGGATGACTCGGTGAAGAATGTGACCAAAGCTCTGAATGAACGGGGCATGTTGAACAACTCTGTGATAGTGTTCAGCACAGATAATGGTGGTCCTGCTGCTGGATTTAATGCCAACCATGCCTCCAACTGGCCACTGAGGTGCTCATTCTCTCTCTCTCTCTCTCTCTCTCTCTCTCTCTCTCATGTATTCACTCAACAAAACTTTTCCTCAGTAATATACTGCTGTACAGGTGTAGCAGCTAAATTTGGCAGTGTATTTGTATGGCCAACATCTTAACATAATATGTCCAAAATTGAGGAATTCTGTCATTTCTTTTTGAATGTCCCTGCATTGGCATTGTACGTACGTTATTGAGAAATTGAAAGAAATGTTGCTAATGAGCTTAATGTCTTATATTTCACTTCTGTACATGTACCTTTCATATTTGTTTTCTAGAGGTGTGAAGACAACACTTTGGGAGGGAGGTGTGAGAGGTGCTGGCTTTATATGGAGCCCTCTCATCAAAAATTCTGCCAGAAAACTTCCTGATCTCATGCACATCTGTGACTGGCTACCAACCCTGTATCATATTGCCGGAGGTGACTCATCCACACTAAAAAATCTTGACGGATTCAATGTGTGGAATACTCTGTCACAGGATGCCCCCACCCCCAGAGTTGAATTGCTGCATAATATTGATCCCATGTTGAATTATTCAGCTGTAAGGGTTGGCGAGTACAAGCTTATCTTGGGTAATATTTTTGGTGGTACTTGGGATGGCTGGTATGCTCCCGAACAATACCATCTTCTAGATGAAACAGAGCTTGATAGAAACTCACTGCAGTACAAGACATGGCCAGACATTTCTCTAGATTCTGATACAGCAAAAAACATGGTGAAGATGACACAATCTGAGACAGGTAATAAGAAAAATGACATATCACATGAAGTAAAGCCCAATGGAAGAATACTTCTAAAGAGGAGCATTGGATATTCAGACCAAAAGAGTGATTTCATGCCATTTTCTGATAAATTGGCAGCACATTTTGGGATGTCTGCAATTAATTCTGGGAAGCATGCAATGGAATCTGGGAAATCTCTAAAAAATCATGGAATTGAAAATGACGTGGTGTTAGACAAAGAGCTTCTTGGCATTGTGTCCCGATATATTCCAGTAGATGTGGACACGTTTCACCTCACTGTGACTCCAGATGTGGTGACTTGTGGAGCCAAGCCTGCCAATGCTAGTACCAACTGTCAGCCCACCAATTCACCCTGTCTGTACCACATTGTGAAAGACCCTTGCGAGTACAACAATATAGCAAATGAAAATCCACAACTCGTGGCAAAAATGTTGACAAGACTGAGGGAATTCAATGCTACTGCAGTGCCCCCTAGGAATAAACCACAGGACTTGAGAGGCCTCCCTATATTCAATAATGGCGCCTGGGGACCATGGATGGATGGGCTATGAATTTTCTATTTTGTATTCTTTCTGTTTCCCTATTTTTATCTCCTTTAACAGTTTGAATTTTAATTGTTCACAGTCCTTTTGAAATGAAATGACATACTTTGCATGGGTGCTTGATGTTAATTTTTTTTCTGTCTTTTGTATTCTTTCTGTATCCCTATTATTATCTCCTTTAACAGTTTGAACTTGAATTGTTCACAAATCGTCTTGAAATGAAATGATATTCTTTGCATTGGTGCTTGATGTTATAATTATGGATGAAAGCAATCTGAAAGTCTAATGCATTTCTTTTCTCCATCTCTATTATTGGTCTCTGGGTTTAATGTATGTACTGTGCTATTTCTTTCAATCTTGTATGTTTTAATGTATGTTTTCTCCAACTATTTGATCAAAACTGTTTTTGCTTATCATTTGTTAATGATTTTTTACTTAATTTACTGTAGCATAATTTTTCTATAATTGACTCAAAACAATAAAGGCTGTCCTTTTGTTGTCAGATTTTAATTTGGTGGTTCTGGTCTGTACATTGTAGATGATGTACTCGGGGATTTTTACAATCCTTGGAAGAAAATCTTAGTTACCTGACACTTTAGGATTAGATGAGATCTGTTAACATGTGAAATAATAAGTTTATACCATAGAAAGCACTTGCCTTTTCTATAAGTTTTCCAGATTTATTTCACTTTTGACTGCTGTCCCTGGAAAGTGGTTTTTGCTTCCTGAAAAAGGGGAAGGCATGTTTGTTATCTTCTATTTCCAATTCCTCAAGCCATCCCTGCTCAATATGCTACATCAACTAAAATTACATATCAAAAATTAGTTCCTTTTTCTAAATGTCCTGGATCTGCCCTTGTCAGTATCACCAGGGTGTACATTGGTGGTACTCATGGTTTTAGTCCCGACCAGTCTCATACAGCTCCCCCGGCTCCACGGGGTAGTGTGGGATACAAGTCACCGTTACCTCTTCTCCTCCTAGACCGCAAGGACCTGTGTCCCCATCTCTTGGATTTAGGTCACAACTTGAACCGCCTGGTTTTTCTTTTAAATTTTGTCTCAGGTGGTGCATTGGCCTGGGCGTGACGCTTATTGAAATGCACCCTTGTCAAAATTTTTTTGAAAATTCAATGCTAAATATCTTCCAAACCAAAGGAAATATGGGAAAAATTACTACAGAAGTCAGATCGAAAGTCATATGTAGAGATTTCAAATATGACCTTGGATTTCAAGGTCAAATGGGCCAAATATTTTTTAAAATGGGTTTTTTTTGCAAAACAAAAATTATTTCTGCTGATTTTCAGAAAGTACACAGACCTAAGTAACCTAACCTATTACACTACAGTATGGGCAGGTGTTTCCCTTAACATCATCTTTCATCTTCGTGAATTTGGGGTCAATGGGTGCATTTTCACAGGAGAAGTGGCCATTAGATGCCGAAACTGAAAACTCTCTCTAATATTCTAGAACTGTAAATGCTAGAGATCTCGTTTTTCGCATTTTATAGAGCTTGTCAAGTGCAACACTGAAAGCGGTGTCCATTTGTTTGTTTTCCATACAGATTCTGAGTTGTATTATATCAAAAGTACAGTACAACGTGGTGGTGAAAATGAAATGTTAAATACGGTAATTTCCTGTGAAATTTTGAAAGTCAGGAAAAGATAACATAAGGCTTAGCAAGATACAGACAACTTCCGGTCAAAAATGACAGAATTTCATGAAATTCGAACATTTGGAATTTCTGAGCACCTCAAATTTCATGAATTTCAACCAAAACGATATTTTCTTTATTTCAATTAATTTCTCCTGTACGAAATTCATGGCGCATTACTGCAACTCCAAAATTAGAAAAGATACACCCATTTTAGCCCCTTCTACTACAGTATCTCCAAAACTGGCAGAGATAGGCCCATAGTTACAATTGAACTTGAATAGGATATTGAACGAACAACTTCAATAAATTAACCCAAGAATTTCAAGTCTTTGATTAAACCAGCCCGACTTATTCCACTATTAGTTTATTAATTTTTACACATTATTGAAATCTGGAGTTTTTTTATACTTATGAAGTACTAACAATATATCGTAGATTAAAGCTCAAAAGATTGTTCACGCATTGCAAAAATATGTTTTCAATTTTTATTTGGCAGTTTTAATTGTGTAGTTTATTTAAAAACAACAGTTTTCACGCACGCACCTCTCGATATACAGCGACGGGCTACTTATTGCCCCGGCCCTTTATAAAGTACGAACAAAACCGGTACTTTTTATTTTACCTGGCCACTAACATCATTATCTCGGCATTTTTTCTCTCCGTAGCTCACGAAAAAAAAAAGACAAGGTTTTACTTTTTATACCATTCGTTTTTTAAAAATGATCCAAAAATATTCATTGGGTGTAAAAGAACAACGTTATACCATTCGTTTTTTAAAAATGATCCAAAAATATTCATTGGGTGTAAAAGAATAACATTAATTCATGTATAGTCATTTTACATCATATCCAGAAAAAGAATGACAACTGATTTTTATCACAATTAAAAACGCCTGTGAAAGAACCCGGGACTCTTTCATGTTGTTAAATTTCAGTCTCTCGATTGAAATAAAGAACCCGACGTTTTTTTAGCGCTGCAAAAAGAAAAAGAAAATAAACTACCCCCTACCTCCAGAATGTTACGACGTATTTTTATAGACGGGTATGAATCAAATTCAAACAGGCTTATTCAACTTTGATGGAAGCTGTCAAGCGCACACGACTATGAATGACAGTTTTTTAAACAAACGTCAAACACAATTACTACACTCTTCTCTCCGAACATTTAAAATTCCAATATCCTTTGATTGACAAGATGACAATCAAATTCGTTAGTTTTGTTAGTTGTTGTCAAGTAATAACAGTTTGATTGGCAGGTTATATAAACAAACGTTAATTACAACCATTACACAGTGGAACACTATAGTCATCCAACACGTTTAGTTCAAGCTTCCTGCATCCTTTGATTGACAAGGTGTCAATCAAATTCAGTTAGTTTTGATAGTTGCTGTCAAGTTATAACAGCTTGATTGACAGGTTATATAAACAAACTGTGCTTTCTCTCGCTGTGAAACAGTGAGTACGCCGAAAGAGAGTGCTAAAATCTGAAGTTAGTAGTTAACTTGCAAAATATTTCAAGAGAATATATACAACATGTTTCCAAAACTAGTTTTCTTTCTGAACCCCGACACTCTAGATTACAAACTATTTTGTAAAAAGAATAAATTAAGCAAAAGAAACCACTTTAAAAATAGTTTCAAGTAAAGAAACATGACATTTGACGTTATTCTGGAGGTAGCGCATGGGTCATTTCAAAATTAGTACAACTATGTGCCCTAGTATGTGCGTGGAAGAAGGAAGAATAAATGTATTTGCATTATGTGTGGAATATTGGCAGATTCTTTTACTGTCAAAGTGTACTTTCTGCAAAATAAAGAAAGAAAGAAAGAAATAAAACGATACTAATTCATCCTCATTAAAGGTGACATTCGTGTTGTGGTTGAGGTAGGTGGTTTAATTTTTGCGAGGCTAAATGTTAGCAAGGACCTATGATAATAAGTGGATGGGAAACAAAAATATAACTGTCAAAAAAACATTACTATCCTATTTAACAAACAAACCACTACTTCGCTCTGGTAACAATTTTGTTAGTTTATTTTACTGCAATAAAGCGTGGATAAAATAGTTCAAAACGCCATCACAATGCAGTTGTTTTAGCGACTTCAGCTGCTGGGGTTAGGTGAAGGGGCGAGGGCAGGGCGGATCCAGGATTATTAGAAGGGGGGGGGGGTCCGGAACGACAGGCTTCGGATGCGAAGCCCCTGACTTACTGGGCACATCAATTTGAAAGCACAAGATTTTTATTTAAAAGCAGCAGAAGAAAAGAAACTACAGATAAAAAGACATAAAAAACTATAATTCAAAATTTGGAAATTCACAAAGTCGTACAACACTGTTGATGTAAAAATAAAGGAAGTGGACCACACAGACATTGACCATCCTGTTTTGCCCTGCAAAGATTTTAATGTTCTAATCAAAGGACAAGAAACTCTGTATGAAGTATACACAACAGTAGGGGCGGATCCAGGATTATATGAAGGGGAAGGGGGGAGGGTCCGCGGATGCGAAGCCGACCTCCCCCCCTCCCCCCCTCTTAATCTGCCATTGAACAGGAGAGATTTTGAGACACCAGTTTAAAGCAGAAGTGATATTAGACTTGTTTCATGTGAACTTCATGAAAATTTACCACAAATAGTTTTATCCATGCAGAATCTCTTCAGTTGGACGTTTACCTCAATAATCCTCCAAAAGGTCTGCAGAAAGGTAGTGCTGAAAGCTACTGCATATCTTCTTTCTCAGGACATGGAAGTATATGTAGTTCCATGCTCAAAATGACCAATACTGTTGCATTATCACAATAATTATGGACAGGTGAGCGAACATTCTCTCTCTAAACCAATATCCTTCCCAAAGTGTTGACTGGACAATAGTATTAGGTCTTGGCGCATTTTGCAGTGGTTCTGGGAGGAGTCAGACACTAAAGGACGAATGGCTAAATGATATGTAGCAGTCAAAAGATCACAATTAATGTTTTAACAAATGGCAGAAACGTTTTACCATATAGACTCCCTGTTCTTTGTGGAAACTTTCAACAGCAACTCATCACTCAATATAGCCATATCTGTATGGAATTTGTTGGAATTTGCATAACGACAAGTCACTCAGCACAGCGCCAATTATCTTCTTGACTGGTCACTTGACAACTGGACCCTGTAAGAAGAGGACGCAGGACAGGTGTGGTGAAGTGGTGAAGAACAGATCATTCAAACAAAATTTCAGACCTATCATTCATTTCCAACTCAACATAATAAGATTTTTGACAGCCTTGGCAGTACATGTATGAAATCTCGTTAGATTAAATCGTTCTCTAAGCGACAACTGCTTTTTACATTCAAATTAAAAAAAGTTGATATCGCCCCTTGGCCTAACCTCAAGGGCAGTGAGCTCCAAAGACGAAGGTACGTTGAATAGAATGATCATTCTGACATTTTGTCACCTTTACACGCGTGACCTTTATACTTATAATAATATGTACCCGGAATAACTACATTGCTTTCTTTGTCCCAGATGTGTCCATAAAATAAAGCACAGGCGCTAAGCTTATTTATGCCCCGTTCTGGTGAGTTTTTCTATGCATATAACACCAAAATGCCTAATGCATAGATAACATTAGCCACGGACATGGTGCAATGAAATCGTATACGATTTTCCGTGCGATTTTTATGGCACAGTAAGTGCTTCGCAGACTACGACTACGGCGAGTACGTTTACAATGCGGGTGTCGTGCGTGTCATTTTGTCGACATGACCTTGAGGTCATAAAGGGAAAATTCGGTTTGTCGGTTGAAAAATGATCGTATGGAGCCTTTTCAGTCTCAGAGCGGTTGCCGTACCCTTCCGTGCGACATACTTGAAGATCGACTTGTTATCGCGGCAGACCCCTACGGACTTTAGCACCCATGTGATCTGAATAACAAAATGCGCAGCTTTTAAATTCGTGCGAGTGAATTACACCTTTAAACAATTTTTATTTTGTTACACCTCCTAAAACCAGAAAAGTGGGAGGAAAAGAGACCAACAATAGGTTCAAGCGTTATCACGATCACCGCAAGTCTCCCGAACAATGCCGAAACTGTGCCATGCCATCTACAATAATACTAAGGCCTACGGGCTTATGATTTTCAAAATTTGTCAAAAGTTTTAGCTTGACAAAATCGGAGAGGCTATGGAGGCCGTAAATCCGTACTTTTACGTTTTTTTTTTTTTTTTTTTTTTTTTTTTTTTTTTTTTTTTTTGC